TCCAGCTGGGGGCCCCTCAGCCTTTGGTTCATAGTTCATGTGGGGAAACCAGCCTTTATGTGGAATTCAAACTGCAGGCTTCATGCTTACAGGAAAAGTGCTTATCCACTGAGACGTATCTCTAGCCCAACAACCCTAGGTTCTTACTTGTGGTAGTTTGAATGTAATTGGCCCCCATAATTTTATAATCTTATAGGGAGTGGCACTATTAGGAGGTGTGGCTTTGTTGGAGGAAGTGTGTCACTGTGGGGGTGGGCTCTGAGGTTTCCTATGCTTAGGACACCACCCAGTGTGTCAGTCGACTTCCTGTTGCCTGCAAGATGCAGGACTCTCAGCTATTTCTGCAGCACCATGCCTGCCTGCATGCCACCATGCTCCCCACCATGATGGACTGGACCTCTGAACTGTAAGCAAGCCCCCTCAATTAAATGTTTTCTTTATAAGAGTTGCTGTGGTCATGGTGTCTCCTCACAGTAATAGAAACCCTAACTAAGACATTACTGCTCCCCTCCTTCAGTCCTCTTGTTACCATCTCTGCCTGGTATGGCCACACCATGCATCTTCTGTGTGACAAAACTTTTCCTGGAGAGATGCAACACACATCTACAAACCCCAGATAGGGGATCCACTATAGACCAGAGCACAGATACCACCCAAGTCCACTTTGGTGAACCAATGAATTTTATTGGGGTTGTTTACAGGAATATGGGTGGGGGGTTACTCACAGGAGCAGAAATGACTCAGAGACAGTTGTATCACCAAAACCCACCCCAGCATGGGTGACAGTTCACAAAGCTGGGAACCTGGAATACACTGAACAGCCTGTAGGCTGTTCAACAGGTTGGAGAATGTCCTTTCCAAGTGGCTTAGTTGGTCTAAGCCTCTTCCAGGCAGCTGGTCTGGTCTGAGAGTCTTTGCAGCTTGGCTCTGCTCATCTGAGAAGCACTCTCAGCTTTTGCTGCTTACTTTGACAGGGAGGGCGGGCCTACTGAATCTGATCAGTTTCAGGGACTTCCTGCCACTGTTTTGAGTTCTTTACCTTCCTGCAGGATGTAATGTTTTAATCTTGGAGGAAACTGTTACACAACAGCATGGTAATTCTGAACAGAAAAATAAGCTCATGCAGCAAAAGCCTTGAGATCAGTGCTCAAAGAAGTAGCAGATGAAACTGCTTGTCTGATTGTATGCTGGGCATTGTACCAAGACTTAGCCACAGACCAACTTACACCTATGACAGGAAGCAAAGAGACAGGACAGTTAAGTACCATGACCTGCATCCCAGCACAGCTAGATGCAGATCTAGATGGGGGAATTCCTGGTCTTGAGTTTGATGTAACACACCTTTCCCAAATATTTGCTGAGTGAATAAATGAACTCTCTGGCCCTTAACATCTATCACACAAGACTGTGTAAGAGGTGCTTTGGACCATTCTCCTCCAGGTGTAATATGGCTATTACCATCTTAATTAGAGTGTCTGAGATGACTCACTGGTGACCTTCGCAAGACTGAGAGTGTGGGAGGGTCGTTTAGGCCTCACTTGAGAGCTGGCCACTCCCTTTTGAAGCTGTCTGTAATTCTGTCCCAGATACACATGGTCTTGGAAGGCACTAGACTATGCATGAAAAGGAAGGTGTCCTATGCAGCTTTGAGCAGGGGTAGACTTTTCAGTGATGCAGCTGTTTTGGGGTCACCCATGCACCTGTAAGTAAGCCTAATAAACAATCCAGTGATTTACCAAGCTAGACTTGGATGGACTCATTCTGTCTGTGGTCAGTGCACTCTTGGGAGTAAATAGATGTTTGCTCACATCTCCTAGGATAAGCCATAGGCCAGCTTCTCTGGGAAGCTGAGCTGGAGTTCAGGGGCAGGTGAGTCATGGGAGGGTAATGCCGGTGGGTAGGAGTAGAGATGCTGATTTGATGAAGCCTGCCAGGCCAACAGGGAACTCTGAAGCAGTGGACAGTGCAGAGCCCACACCAGGCAGGCATGTCTGGGTTATAGTATGTTAGTAGTGGCAGGTAGTACAGCCCAACGGTTGTCAGAAACCTGAAGAGTTCTCTTCCCCATAGGGACCTCCAAGGAAAGCCAGACACTTGACTACACCACAGAAAAGAATTTCAGGACAAGTCAGAATGAAGCCAAGTTCGTGAGAGTACACACCTGTGATGTGGGTGGGCTCCTGGGGAGACTTGAAGCCAAAATCATGACAGTACACACCCATGACATGAGTGGGTTCCTGGGGAGACTAGCACTTCACTGTCTTTACAATGACGGTATATGTGATTTGGCAGCTTTCCATATTCCTCAACAGATATAACTTACAACAAGGTTTGAAGATTAAGCAAAGCTTAGAATGTAAGGTTTAAAAGTTAAGTGAGAACACATGAGCTGGTTTAATTATTTTTCTTAAAGGATTTTCTTTTGTAAGTTGTAGGGACTCAGTGCTAATACAGTTAAACTCAAGGTCACAAACATTCTAGCCCTGAGTTAGTTCAGTTCATTTTGTTGTTGTTGTTGTTGTTCTGTTCTGTTTTGTTTTTTTCTAGCTGTCCTGGAACTCTCCCTGTAGAGCAGGCTGGCCTCAGACTCAGATGCCTGTCTCTGCCTCTCTGGGATTGAAGGACTGAAGGCGTGCACCACCTGTTGTAGTTCATTTGCTTTAAACAACTTTTAGAGATATCTTTTGGGAAGCATACATTATCTTTGTTGGTAATTTGGGGCTGTATCAATTGTGTTGATGTTTCTTAACTCTTAGTCTGTGGGAAAGGCAAATTAGCCGCCCCCCCCTCCCCCGCAGTGTGCAAGATTTTCCTCCTTCTTGTGCCTCCTTGATTTTGCCTGTCTTTCTGTCCAGCCTTAGTACCATAGTCCAGTTCAGGAGGCACTGCCCCAGCAGTCTGAAACAAGCCCTGAGTGTCCGCTGAGCAGACAGTCTCTTGCTGAGGGTGACCAAGGATTCTGGAACCCAAAGAGTCACAGACACTTAAGAGAACACTCTGCCACTAACCTACCATCTCTGGGTTATTTGTCCCTTTTGAGGGGGGATCTGGTGGCTGACCCTTATACCCCAGGCCTCTCTCTTCTCTGGGTAGCTCAGTGTCTGTAGAAACAGCTTAGCTCTCACTTGGTGGATTTCCCCTAACTCCATCCTCCATGCCTCACTATACCCCAGCTGTCACCCTCAGAGGGCTGGGGGTTGAGGCCACCATACCTCCTCAGGCTAGGGAAGCTGTACTTCTCCATTCACAGAAAGAACATGTGAGGAAGATCCATGGCACCCGAGGACCCCAAGAACCCTCAGAGTCCAGTCCCAATCAGCCCAGCATTTTACCAGCTGGGTTGTGTCTGGCCCGGTCTGGCTCCAGAGAGAGGATATGTATAGCACCTTCCACCAAGGGAAAAAGGTTATCCGTTGTCATCTCTACCTGGAGTACAGCCAGATGGGGCTAGCGGCCGGCTTCTGTGTCTCATGTGAGGTCAAACTATAAACTCCTTGGTTTATCTGTCCACTTATTTGGGCCCCAGTAGGGGGCCCTGACTTTGGCCTAATAGCTGTGCTGAGTTGAATGCTCAGCTGTCTTTGAAGTTCATCACTCTGGACTTTCCAAGAAGCAGATGCTGAAGTGGCCCTAAAATCTGGATTTGAACTTGAACTTTGTTCTTTCTGAAAAAGGGGCTTTGAAGTTGGTGAGTATAACTGGCCTCTCTTGCACTAAGCGTTCAGTTGTTAGTTAATTGCCCTCAGCTCATCATTGCCCATCTGTAAGAGTTAACAGCTCTCCAACGCTGTTATCCCCCCTCCACATGGCCCAATCATCTGAGTCAGCTGACGGTCGGTGCGGCACTGATCCTTAGCTTGAATGGCCTTGCTCCAATCCCTCCCCTGTACTAGCTCATTCTCTCAGGCCATTCTCAGGAGAGTTGTCAACTTGAGACCTTGGCCACCATGTGTGGCCACCCCCTGGAAACCACCACCGCACTATGCAGTGGTGAGTGGTCTGGTCAGCCTGTTTACTATTCTCCTCGTTTGAATCACTCCACCCCTAGTTCCCACCTGGACTTTCCAAGAAGCAGATGCTGAAGTGGCCAGAGGTTTCTTGGGAAATCACACCTTTGAGAGGAGCAAGGAGGGAACTAGGGACAGTGATGGAAACCTGTCGAAGTCTGAAACATCTGTCTGTGTGTTAAGAAGCACCGACTGCCGGTAAGAAAGGCTGGCTATGTGAGCAGAAAAAGTGCCCACTGCTCCAGCTTTGCCCAGCTGGCCTCCGGAGACTCTTCACAGCTGGGCAAGCATTGGTCTCTGTGTCTGCTACCAAGAGGATGGCAGGGGTCAGGCAGACATTCCTGGGGGAACCTTGAGTTCTCCCTCTGTGAGTTACTGTGTGTTATTTATGGGAATCCAGCTGAATATGGCTCCCAGGGATTATCTCCTTGGATTCTCCTGGATGGGATGGTAATCTGACCTCTCCTTAGGTCACACCTGCCAGATCTGCAGCTGGGGGAAGGGGCTGGTTGGCTGAAGTCAGTGCAGTAGGCCCTCACATTGAGGACACCTGGTGAACTGTCAAGGCCACGTGAGTACACGTACTATGGAGCTGCAGAGAAGCCCTTCATCAGAGCAGGGAACACATCCCACTGGGTGCCACTCTAGAGGAGAGAGGGGGCACTGATGCCGTGCACACAGCCCAGTGAGCAGCAATGTTCAGTGGCACTTTGAGTCCTCACAACAAACTCCTGGATCCTAGACCTCAGGATATGTAAACATAAGGGCAGAGTTTCTTGTGGGTTTGCTGGTTTGCTGCCCTTAAGCATCCCGGCCTCTGGAGTCAGATCTCAGACTGCCCTAACAGTCCACGTTCCACGTAACAGTTCCATGTAGCACTTCAGCGTCCAGGAGCTGTGGAAGACGGTAATGATGGGGGATGCACCAGGCCTACTCTGACTACTCCAAAGTTAGCTATATATCATACACATTGGCTCAGGTCTATGGGCATGTGGCAGAGAAGATCTGAGACGTTTGCCACCCAGAGGAAGTACAGCTTCTCTTCCCAACCCCAGGGCCTGCACAGCTGGCAAGTGAGGCTGGAGCTGCCCTGGGAATGAGGCCTGCCTCAGGCGCAGCCTCCAAGTGGACATGGGCAGACATCTAGAAGTCAAGTGGGTACCTCAGTTCAGCAGGCCCTGGTCACCTTTACTTTGAGATAAATAGCTGGGTTGGAAGCTGCCACTTGTTCCCAGGTGTGAATAGTTAGAGTTCAAACTTGACAGAATCTAGAATCACTTGAAAAACAGGTTCTAGGCTGCATGTGGGGGATTTTCTTGATGATGACACTATAATTTCTATGTGGAGACCCATCTTAATTATGGGTAGGATTGTGTCCTGGGGAGGGGATTCTGGAACGTGTAAGAAGGCAAGCTGAGCACAAGGGTGTGTGCATTTATTGTTCTCGGCTACTACAGAGGTCACATGATCAGTATTTCAAGCTCCTGATGCCTTGACTTTCAGGCCATGATAGACTGTACTTTGAACTGTGAACTAAAATAAACCCTTAAGTTGATTTTTTTTAAAAAAAATTATGTTCTTTTATTTGTGTAGGGGTGGGGTGCACATGCTCGTGTGTGTGTGTGTGTGTGTGTGTGTGTGTGTGTGTGTGTGTGTGTGTGGGCTGGAGGACAACTTATGGGGTTAGTTGTTCCCTTCCACCACAGGTCCCATGAGGAACGAAGATCCTCATTTGATAAGAGTCTGAGGAGTGAGAGTTAAGCAGTGTATTTATGAGCAGCCTCAAAAGGCAGATGTATGGTCGATATATTGTGCACCCCAATAAATAAACTTACCTGGGGCCAGAGAACAGAACAGCCACTGGATAGACATAGAAGCCAGGCATGGTGGCACGCACCTTTAATCCCAGGACTTGAGATCTCATGTCTTGCTTGGGAAACACACTCCTTTAATCCCAGGAAGTAATGGCAGGTATATAAGGCATGAGGACCAGGAACTAGAGTTCTTTTTAAGCTTTTAGGCTTTTAGCAACAGTTCAGCTGAGATCCATTCAAATGAGGACTCAGAGGCTTCCAGTTTGAGGAAACAAGATCAGCTGAGAAGTTGGCAAGGTGAGGTTGGCTGTGGCTTGTTCTGTCTCTCTGACCTTTTAGCATTCACCCCACTACCTGACTCGGGTTTGTTTTTTATTAATAAGACCTTTTAAGATTCGTGCTACACAGATGCTCTGACTGAGTACCAAGAGCAGTCTGTAAACTGAAACGCAGTACCTTCCTTCCCTCTTTGAATCATCAGGAAGGACAATCGTACAGTCTCCTAGCTCTCATCTGCCCTCGGTTGGCTCAGTTTGTCTTTTTCTCAACAAGAACTGTAGTGGTTTCGTCTCTGCACTTCACATCCTGTTTATTTTTAAGCTGGTCAGACATGTGACCTTTCAGGCAAGCATGGCTGTAATTTTCTACTCTAACTTCTGGGGGTTTGGGGTGGGGGAGGGTACCTGAGCTAACACATACCAAGCAAGGATGGGGTCTAGTGTGATCTGTTCACTTGTAAGCTTAAGGCACATTTGAAAACGAACCATCAGATTTTATTTCTAGCAGTCCCAGGGCTCAAACTCAGGTCATCGGGTCTGGTAACAATCACCTTTACCCACTGAACCATCTTACTGGCCCTTTTACATTGCTTTTTTCCAGAGTGTTTTGTCAAAATAACAAGAAGAGAAACTGAGACACCAGCTGAAGAGACTCATAGGGCCTCCTGCCACAGCCAACTCTGAGCTCAGGGGTTGTTCCAGGACTCTGCCTAACCTTCAGGGCTTAAAATAATGACAACTTCATTGGCATTTAATTAAGATATCCAATAACACACCCATTTAAAAATATAATTCACCAGGTGGTGGTGTCACACATTTTTAATCCCAGCACTTGGGAGGCAGAGACAGGCGGATCTCTGAGTTTGAGGCCAGCCTGGTGTACAGAGTGACTTTTAAGACAGCCTGGGCTACACAGGGAAACCCTGTTTCAAAAAAAAAAACAAACAAGCAAACAAATAAAGTATGCTATTCAAACCTCATTATGGTTCCAAACTGTTTGCATACCCAGCAAGGAACCCATCACCCCATCACTGTCCTCTCAAGCTCCTTCTACTCATCCACTCTCAGGTATTTATGGGTTGCCTCCTCTGGACATTTTTGAAAAGTTTTTTTGCACCCTGATAAGCTTCTCCACCAATGCAGCAATCCAAATCAGACTGAATTAGAAAAAAATCCCAGTTTAATGGGTAAAGTGTTCCTGGGTGATTCTCTGGCCCCCCAGAGAGGAATGAGAGAATGGAAAACCATGTGTCTGTTTTCTGGGGTGCAGCTTCAATACCCTGTGGGAGTGGTCTTGAACATGTCTGGGGGAGGAGCCATATTTGGCGGGCTTTGAAGGGGCAGGTTGGGGAAACAGATGGGGGAGGGGAGTTGAGGTGAATCTTCCACCAGAACATTCCAGACTCTTTTTTTTTTTTAAAGATTTATTTATTTATTATGTATACAGTATTCTGCCTGCATGTATCCCTGCAGGCCAGAAGAGGGCACCAGATCTCATTACAGGTGGTTGTGAGCCTCCACGTGGTTGCTGGGAATTGAACTCAAGACATTTGGAAGAGCAAGCAGTGCTCTTAACCTCTGAGCCATCTCTCCAGCCCCATTCCAGACTCTGTGTATATCAATGCCAGGGTGCCAGGGACTGAGGTGGAGCTCCCATCAGAACAATTTTGTGTGAAGGGAACCACATAAGATGTGGACTTTGTCTTGGGCTTTCTTCCTACAACATAAAGGTTTCCAGGTGACTCCTTGTTGAGACATGTCAGTAATCCCTTCCTTTGTAGCTGAATGATAATTTATCCTATAGAGACACTGTGTTTCATTTTTTGTTTAAAGATTTTAGTTCAGGCATGGTGGCACACACCTTTAATACCAGCACTTGAAAGGCAGAGGCAGGTGGATCTCTGTGAGTTCAAAGCCAGCCTGGGTCACAGCGAGATCCTGTCTCACCCACTTCCTCCCCTGCAAAAAAAGATTTAGTTTTAGTTTTTTCTTACATATGTGTACCACATGGATGTGGGTACCCACAAGGACCAGAAGAGGGCATCAGATCCCCCAGAATTGGAGTTACAGGTGGTTGTGAGCTATCTGATATGGGTGTTAGGAACCAAATTCACATTCTATAGAAGAACAGAAAGTGCTCTTAACTATTAGGCTCTCTCTTGAGCCCCTTGATTTTTGTTGTTGGCATTGTGTGTGGTTGTTTGTTTTGCTTTGAGACAGGGTCTTGCTATGTATCCTAGGATGTCCTGGAATTGACTATAGAGCCCAGGGTGGCTTCAAATTCATGGCAATCCACCTGCCTCAGTCCTCCCAAGAGCTAGAGTAACAGGAGTGTCCTAGCTTTCATATTTTATTTATCCATTCCTCAGTTGGTGGCCGTTGGATCTTTTTCACTTTTTAGCTAGGCAGGACAGTGCTTCTGTGAATTTGGTACTCAAGCTTTCGTGTGGACAGGTTTCATTTCTCCTGGGGACACACTGGGCATGGATTGCTGGGCCATTTGCTAACTACTCAACCTTTTGAAGAACCACCAGCCTGTTTCCCAAGGGCAGTTCCATGCCATGCTTTCATCAGCAGTGTGTATGGGGTTTCCATATATTCTCATCAACATTGTGTTACTTGTTTTTTAATAAAAGACTACAAAAGATTTAAAAATTTGTTTTATGCTTGTGCCTGTGTCGCTTGCCTGAGTTTGTATGTACCATATGAATTCAAGGTCCACAGAGGCCAGAAGAGGGTGTCAGATCTCATGGAACTGCACTTACAGACAGATGGTTGTTGGCTGTAATGTGAATGCTGGGAACTGAACCCAGGTCTCACTCTTCTAGAACTTACTGTGTAGACCAGGCTGGCCTTGAACTCAAAGAGATCTGCCTGCCTCTGCCTCCCTAGAGCTGGGATTAAAGGCGGGCACCACTATGCCTGGCTTAATAGATGTGTGTGTGTGTGTGTGTGTGTGTGTGTGTGTGTGTTCCTTAGGATTCTCATCTCGTCATATTTTCATTCTCTCTCCCTCCCCCTTCTCTCTCCCTCTCCCTTTCCTCCCTTGCTCCTTCTTCCCCCCTTCAGAGTGCTAGTAAAGCCCCATGCATGCTAAGGAAGTGCTATATTACTGAGCTACATTCCTGGCTCTTAAAAAATGTTTTGTTTTTTTGAGAACAAGTTGCTAAGTTGCCTAGGCTGGCCTTGAACTTGCAACTCTCCTGCTTAGTCTCCTGAGTAGCTGGGATGACAGGCCTACAGCACCAGGCTAGCTTCCTTAGGAGAAGCTTCCTTCAGTATACGAAATCCCATCATCTGCAGTTAGCTTTACTTCTCTCTCTCTCTCTCTCTCTCTCTCTCTCTCTCTCTCTCTCTCTCTCTGTTTTTGTTTTTGTTTTTCGAGACAGGGTTTCTCTGTGTTGTTTTGGTGCCTGTCCTGGATCTCGCTCTGTAGACCAGGCTGGCCTCACAGAGATCAAAGAGATCACCTGGCTCTGCCTCCTGAGTGCTGGGATTAAAGATGTGCGCCACCACCGCCCGGCACTTTACTTCTTTCTTGTCTCTTGTTTTATTGTCACTTCTCTGTAAGTCGGGGACTCAGAGAAGAAGAGTAACCCGATAAGCTACACAGTTAGAACTAACAGCTGTGTCTGGAGCCCTGCAGAGCGGAGCCAACTGTGTCTCCCTGGCCGGGTCTCCGACCCAAACTGGGGCCATCACTTCTCCCTCTTAAGTTGTTCTCTGGCATCCTGGGGCTCATGCCAGCAAGTCCGAGGTCTGGTTTGGCCATAGGACCTAGGATGCTCTGGCATTTTCAGTGAAGTCTGTGAGGACCTCCTCTACCCGCTGGCAGTACTCTTTGGAGCTTCCCTGACCTTAATGGGCCACGCTGGGGAAGTTGACCCTTACTTGTCTGCACAGAACAAGCTGGATCCTCATCAATTGCTGACACATCGGATGCCCCCAAACATTCTCTAAGGTGGAACTCTATAGCCCTGGTCAGTTCAGTGTCAGAGATTTTGCTCTGTCCTCTTGGAAGCCGAATCAGGGTCAGAAGCTGACCTGACCCCGCCCTGACCCTGGGAAGGCAGGGCTCAGCAAGTAAATGGGGCATCCTGAAACACCCCTGAGGCCAGTCAGACAGCAACAGAATCTAGTGTCGTGTCAGACACCCCCTTCCCTCGTCTCTCTTGTCCTGTGGGGCACAGAGTGGGAGAGAGCAGGCTGGGACTGCGCTTGTGGGGAGGGAAGGAAAGTGGGCAGGGCAAGGGGTGGGGTGGGCAGATGATCACCCAAGTGATTAGTAATAGGATCAGATGAGACTAGAGAAGGGTAGGGAGAATACCTCAGGCCTGACCCTGACTGGGGTGGTTCTGGGTATGAGAGTGGAGCCTCAACTAACTAACTAACCAGATAAAGACGGAATTGTGAAGTCCCCATGAAGGAAGCAGACAGGTGCACAATGTGGTAGAGCTCTGGTTATTACCTAAGCTACTTCAGGGAGGATTTATTTCGGTGCATGGTTTGAGGGAGGGGGTACAGTCCATCACGGTGGGGAAGGCATGGCGGCAGGAACATGAGGCAGAGGCGTCTGGTCACATGTACCCTCCGTTGGGAAGCAGAGAAAGACAGTGCTGCTACTCAGCTCTCAGTCTCCTTTTTATTTAGTTTGGGACTTCAGGCCATGGGATGGTGCCAACCACATGCATGATGGGGTTTCCTTCTCAGTTAAGCCTCTCTGGAAATGCCCTCCAGCACACGCCCAGAGCTGTGTTTTCTATGTCATCCCAAATCTAGTCTAGTTGATTATTAAAATTACCTCCTGTAAACTCCAGCTCGTGGAGTGCACACGGCTGGGGAGAGGATCATGACACATGCCGAAGGCACCTTGGGAGCCCAGGTGCCACATAGTGAGGAGCCCAACCTATGCTGATATTTTGCTTGTGATCTAACAAATAAAGCCTGCCTGAAGATCAGAGTGAGGAGCTAAGCCACTAGTTAGCCATAGAGGCCAGGCAGTGGTGGCACATACCTTTAATCCTAGCACTCAGGAGGCAGAGGCAGACAGATCTCTGTGAGTTCAAGGCCACCCTGGGATACACAAGATTGATCCAGTCTAAAAGAGCAACAGCCAGGCAGTGGTGACACACACTTTTGATCCCAGCCCTTGGGATCTCATGCCTTTAATCTCAGCACTAGGGAGATGGAGACAGGAAGTGATATGGCTGGGCAAAGAGGGGAATACAGGTGAGAGGAGACAGGAGCTTGCCCCCTTTCAGGCTGAGGATTCCTAGAGGGTAAGAAGTCTTTTCTAGTGACTGGCTACTCTGCTTCTCTCATCTTCAGGCAAGCTTTATTTGTTAGATCACAAACAAAATATCACCACACCAACCCAGTGTAATTACGGAGCTGTGTGATGCTCTGGGACACCTAGCCCATAGCCAGTGTGGCCAGCAGATGTGGAGGTAATGGACCTTCAGAGGTTTCTACACTTAGCCTCAAGTCCAGATGAGGCCCTGAACAGAGCAGAACAGAAGAGCTATGGACTCTGTGCCCAGTTGTTTTCCTGACTCACAGATCTGTGGGTCTCTTCAGCCCCAGAACTGGCCACAGAGTAGCTGTGGGCAGCCATGACTTGAAGAGCACATCACAGAGAGCAGCAAGGTGCCCTTGGCCAAACAAGTCTCCTCCACCTCCCTTAACCCCTGGCAGATGGCATCCGTCCCCTTTTCTTCTTGAGTGTGCAGTGACTTTGCCTATAGGGCTGAGGAGAGGCACTGGATTTATCTAGCTCCATTCCTACAGGCAACCCACAGGACTGCCCACAACCTAAACTGGCCTGTCCACTCTCCAGCCCTTCCATTGCTTTTGCTTAGCTCATGGTCCTGCCCGGAAGGCCAGTCTCTCCTCTCTCCTCTTCCAGGAAGCCCTCCTTGACTGGCATGTGTGGTGACCTGTATTCCTCAGAAGCTCCGAGAGAAGTCCATGGATGAAGAGAGCCACACTCGCTCTTATCACAGGCTGTGAAGGGACTGCCTTTGGTTTTGTCCCAAGGCTGCTGTTTGGCTACGGTGAGCATCGATAAAGTTTCACCTAGATACGTGGTGACATCATTTCTTGTATTGACTGGCACCCACCTGAGGCCAAGCCCTCCCCCTCAGTCTCTGCCTCTCCTCCCACCACGCATGCATCCTCCCTGCTGGCTCTCCCTCCCCACAGTCACCCTGCGATTTCGCCTGCTCTAATGCTTCCCCGAAGCTCCCTGGCTAACTTGCCTCATCTCTCTGATTCCTTTTACAGCAACGCTCCTCCAGGGGCCACACCGCTCTCCTCCCCCACTACCCACCTGCCTCTATTCCGCAAAGCAGGCTTCTACTAAGACAGATATAGCCGTCAAGGTTACCAGTGACCTCCAGGATGCTAAGCCCCTTAAGCCCGACTGTGGGGAGGGAGTGGGTGCCCAAGCATGCTCTTCCTCTCCTTGCTGGCTGCTCCATCTGTGGTTCTGCTTGGATCTCCCTGGGACATGGTGCCCAGCCCTGGCCTGGCCCTGTGACATTTGCTGAGGGATCTCCCCTGTGGGCAGTTATCCCCTGCAGCTCCCAGGATGCAGACTTCTCATTTACTTATGGTTGGCACACAGGGGAACCATACAAGGAGAAAGACCCTGAACTGTCTCCATTACCTTTTCCTGTGGCCGGGAAATACCACTGCCCGACTTTCTACATGTATCCAGAATCCTAGTCTGACTGCGTGGACCCATCCACAGGCAGGACCTATCTCTGTTTTTGTTTGTATCACATGATATTCACCTGGCCTCTGCCCCATTTGGATTCCAGTGTGGGTGGGAGTGGGAGATTCCTTCAAATACGTGATCCCTTGGGCTCTCCTCACTCCCACTGCCGTGGTGTATTGTGGTGCTACTCCTGCCTCTGTTTCTTCACTGCTTTTTCAGGGATGGCCCTCCCCACTGGCTCCCACCCTCCTCCTCCTCAGAGAGGTTGGCTACTCGTTTGTTGGCAAAGCAGTCCCACCTGGGCACCCCAGGCCCCTCTCTACCCACCCAACATCAAGGCTCTGGACACTCAGTGGCTCATCAAGAAGATTCTAATGAAGGGCTGAAGAGATTGCTTAGTAAAGTACTTGCCTAAATGTGGAAGATGACTGAACTTCTGTCTCCTAAATTCTGGGACTACAGGTGTGTGCCCCCAGGCTTGGGGACAGTAGGGATTGAACTCAGGGCTTTGAGGATGTTAGATTAGTACTCAACTGAGTGCATGCCCAGACCCTCTGGAATTTTTTTTTCTTTGAGACAGGGTTTCTCTGTGTAGCCCTGGCTGTCCTGGAACTCACTCTGTAAAGGCCTTGAACTCACAGAGATCCGCCTGTCTCTGCCTCCCAAGTGCTGGGACTAAAGGCGTGCACCACCACCGTCTAGCTGGAATTTAAAAAAAAAAAAAAAAGATCTATTTTACATCCCAGCCTCACTTTCTCCTCCAAATCCCCTTTGAATTCTTTAATTTTTTAAATTTAAATTTTGTGTGTGTGTTCTTGCTTGAGGGTATTCTCATACTGTGGCACACATGGAAGTCAGAAGACAAGGTGTTGGATTTTGCTTTCTGCCATGTGTGAGGCAGGGGCTTTCTTGTCTGCTGCTGAGATATGTATTCAAGTCTAACTCGCTGACAAGATTCTAGGGGATTCTGTTGTCTCTGCTTTCCATTTTTCCATAGCAAAGCTCACATTTTAGACATGAGCCACAGAGTCCGACTTCTGTAGATTTCTGGAATTGAAGCTCAGGTTATCAGGCTTGTGTGGCGAGCATTTTACCCGCGGAGACACCTCCCTGCCCCTTTGACTTCTTTTTTATTTTAAATTTTTAAGAAGTTAATATTTTGTTATTTTATGTGTATGACTATTTGGCCTGCATGTATGTCTGTGCAACACATATGTGCCTGGTGCCTATGGAGGCCAGAAGAGGGCACTGGATCTCCAGCTGGAGTTACAGGCAGCTGTGAGGCACCATGTGGGTGCTGGGAATTGAGCCCAGGTCCTCCAGAAGAGCAGCCAGTGCTCTTAGCCACTGAGACATCTCTCCAGCTCTTCTTTTATGTTTTGTACCCAGCTCTCCTGTCCCCTTTGACCCCGAACTTACTCCAGATGCCCTGAATATTCTGGAAGCCAAGGTGACTGACACGGCCATGTTTTCTGGCCCCACAGGCTGAGCCCTCTGTCCTCCTTGCTGAGTCACCTCAAGATCTCTTTTTTTTTTTCAGGGTTTCTCTGTGTAGTTTTGGTGCCTGTCCTGGATCTCACTCTGTAGCCCAGGCTGGCCTCGAACTCACAGAGATCTGCCTGCCTCTGCCTCTTGAGCGCTGGAATTAAAGGCGTGCGCCACCACTGCCCAAGATCCTTCATTGTTTGAAAGAGGCACTTGGGGCACTGTCCAGAGCTGAGTGAAACCACAAATTTATTTTCACTTTTTTTCTTTCTGCCTTATCATGTTCTTACCATGATATTTTCTAATATCTACTCTGGGACCACAGTCCATGCTGTCAGTGGTTCTCACTCTGTACGCTCAGCCTTTGGACCTTGACTGGACAAAAAGGCTAAATTCCTAGCATTCAGGTAGCAGCTCATGGGGCTTAGTCTCCATAATCATGCAAGCCACTACCTCATTATGTCTACAGCCAACCGGGCACAAGGATACTTTGCTCAGTGGTGGGCTGTATGGACAGTGGAGGTGCCATAAGATTATAGTGGAGATGGAAAACTCTTGATGCCTAGTGGCATTATAACCACCACAGGGCAATGCACCCTTCACATATTTGTGGTGGTACAGATAAACCTTTTATGCTACCTATTAAAGCACAATGTATGATTAGGCACAGAACATAGTGCTTGATAATTATTATAAACACTAGTTACTGGTTTACAAATTTACTATATTGTACATTTTATCACTAGTGTGAATCCCTTCTTCTAAAACTAAATACTATAAATAGCTTGTGGCAGTGAGCTATAAGCAGTAGCCTCATGTATCTGTGTGTGACATGTCTTGTGGTATCATGAATTAGCCCTGGGTTATTGGTTTACAATAGTCCTGGAAGCAAAATGTCACAACATATGCATATATAACTTGTGCATCCGATGACATTCATACAGTGAAGAAATCATCTAAGGATGCTTTGTTCAGGCTGCACCCCTGTTTCTAAGTCTCTCAGAAGTCTATTCAGAAGAACCCTATGATGGTTAATCTTGGTTGTTATCTTGATTGAGTTTGGGATTGACTAACAGACACAGCTCTTAGAGGGTAGATGTCCAGTTTATTTTAACTGTCAACTTGACACAGCTGTAAGAAATGGGTCTGAGGTCTCAAGAAAATGACCAATTCAAAGTATTTCAGCAAGGCAAGTTTCGTTTCTGCAGAAGGCTGTGTAGCCATGCTTCATCAAGCAAGAAATCTGAGGGAGGGCTGGAGAGATGGCTCAGCAGTTAAGAGCACTGTTTATTCTTCCAGAGGACAGGGGTTCAATACCCAGCACCAACCTGATAGCTCACAACTGCCTATAACTCAAGCTCCAGGGGATTCCAGGCCCTCATCTGTCTCTAAGGGCATTAGGCACACACATGATGCACACACATACATGCAGGCAAAACACCCCTATAAGTAAAATAAGAACTAATTTAGTACTTATTTGTAGTGGGTAGCCATTCCAGCTTGGTTCTGGAAGTTCCAACCCCCATTGAGACTCTGGCAACTGTCACGCCTACGAGGCGGGGCGAGGGGAGGCGCCTGGGGACCAGAGAGCTGGATGGGCCAGCGCTCGCTCTGGGCGCTCTCGGTGCCGGAACGCTGACCGGTGCAGATTGACTCTGCAGAGCTCCGGAGAACACCTCTGGACTGCATTACACCTTCCCCAGACCCTGCGACCTACCCATTACTTAATTTGTGAGTTACGCCATTAAATAAATATCCTTTTAACTACGTGGAGTGGCCAAAATAATTTCTCCAATACTTATTAGTCACAGCTCTCCAGAGATCAGGGCTTGAGCCCCATCTAGGAGCTCATGTGTGAGTGTGTTAGCTAAGGAATGACAGAATGGACAGAGAAAATGGGAGAGCCTGGGTGAACTGCTGAATTGCTCCCCAGCTGGAGAGATTGAACCGTTTGTTCAAATCATAGACTGAATCTTAATCTAATGAGTCCAGACTGAAGTGTTACTCCTTCACTCCCAGCTCTCATTGCCAAAACCTCCCCATCATTTGGGAGGTGGGTGCTGAGTGTCACATTCTGGTCTTGTGTTGGGTGGGCCTGGGGATCAGGGTAGGGGATGATGGCAGCAGAGCTAGAGACTGCATCTGTGGGAAACTGACTGACATCTGCATTTATCTCCAGAATCCAAGGTGTGGCCATGAGAACTTGAAGAGGTGACCAAAAAATGCCAACCAACTGTCAATGTTTATTTACATGTTTATATGCTTACATGACTTTCATATTTATTAGTAAATTTTCAACATGAAGCAAAAAGTGAAAATTATTCTCCATGGGGGGTTGATTTATTCTCAAAGCTCTGAAGGAGAATCTATTCCCAGAGTCCCCAGCTCCAATCACTCAGGTAGGGATACTCCTTGAAGTTCCTGTTAATCACCCCCCCCACTTTCTTATAAGGGAGATGATGACCTCATTTCAAGCCTTTTTTTTTATAGGCAAGGTCTCACTATGTAGATCTGCCTGCCTCTGCCTCCCAAATGTGATTTTAAAGGCTTATGACATCATGCCTGGTTTCCAAGATTCTTTTTTTTGTATTTTAAATGATTTATATTTTTATTTTATGTTCATTGGTATTTTACCTGCATGCATGTTGTGTGATCCCCTGGAGGTAGAGTAACAGGCAGTTTTGAGCTGCCATGTGGGTGCTGGGAACTGAACTCAGGACTTCTTCACTGCTGAGCCATCTCACCAGCCCCACCAAGATTCTTTTTAAATGACTAATACTAATTCTATTTTCTAACAGGTAATTTTTCTGCTGCCTCAGCGTTTTCCCCTCAGACAACATGAAAGCTTTAGAACTGGATCACTCAGCTCCTTTTCTTCTAGTTTCCCACACTCCAAAATGCTGTGTTTCTGAAGGCTGGCATCCTCTGGGGTCAGCAGTTGGGCTCCACACTCAAGCCTAGACACTATCTTCTCTGTAGTTTTGGGCTTTTTGTTTTCCTTCAAAAATTAGCTTTCTCTGTCAGCCTGCCATAGTTCTTCTGCTTCTGATTGTAGCTTCGTTTTCCTTGGTGTACCAGTGGTTATGGCCCTTCTCAAACTGGGACACTTCATGAGGCTAATGCTTATGGAGTTAGGACTTGGAGATTTTAATATATATGCATTTGTTCCTCTCCTCTCAGTCCCTGCCAGTCACCATACTAGTTTATGTTTCTGTGGATGTGGTGACCTCAAATACCTCTTTTAATCATACAACATGTATTGTTTGATGGTTGGCTTATTTTATTTCAGTACTCAGTATTGAAATATAAGTATTTTCCCACAGAATATATCCTGATTACAGTTTTCCTTCCTTCTACTCCTCCAAATTCCTTCCCATCTCCCCTCCCATCTGGATCCCTCCCTTTCTGTCTCTCATTAGAAAATAAACAGGCTTCTAAGAGATAATAATAAGATATAACATAATAGGATAGAAGAAAAACTAGCACATTGGAATTGGACAAAACAAACAGAAGGAAAAGAGCCCAAGAGAAAGCACAAGAAACAAAGACCCATTCAACTGAGCAGAAATCCCATAAAAACACTAAATTGGAAGCCATAATATATATGCAAAGGACCTGGTGCAGACCTGTGCAGGTCCAGTACACGCTGCCTCAGTCCCTATGAGTCTCTATGTGCTTGGATCATGTTGATTTAGAAGGACTTGTTTTTTTTGGTGTCTGTCATGCCCTCTAGCTCTTATTTTCTTTCTGCTTCCTCTTCTACAGGGTTCCCTGAGCCCCAAGGGGAGGAATTTGATGGAGACATCCCATTTGGGACTGAGTATTCCAACATCTCTCATTTTATGCATAATGTCTGGCTGTGGGTCCCTGTATTTGTTCCCATCTGCGGCAGGAGGAAGCTTCTCTGATGATGGCTGAGCAAGGCATTGATCTGTGAGTATAGCAGAATGTCAATAGGAGTCATTTTATTTTATTTTATTGGTTTTTTGAGACAGAGTTTCTTTGTGTTGCCCTGGCTGTCCTAGAACTAGCTCTGTAGAGCAGGCTGGCCAGAAAGGCAGAGATCTGTCTGCCTTTGCTTTCCTAGTGGACTAAAGGCATGAGCCACCACTGCCTGGCAACAGGAGTCATTTTATTGCTGTTTCCTCCCTCCCTCCCTTCCTAAGAGGAGTAGTATTTGGTTTTACCCCAGATCCCTGGGCCATGTAGATTCAGGTTCTTGGTCACCCAAGCAGTGTCGGGTGTGGGTCCATCTCACAGAGCGGGCCTTCTTCAGTCAGTCAAATCCGTTCTTGGTTGGTCACTCCCACTAGCTTTGTGCCACTGTTGCGCTAGCAAACCTTTCATTCAGGACACCACTGTTGATCAAAGGTGTAAGGCTGGGTTGGTGTTTACATTTCTCTTTTGCTAGCATGCAGTGTACTTTCTTGTACCAATGACGCTAGAACACAGGGTGAAGGCTTTATGTAGGCACTATTCGACTTCTCCATGTTCAGTGAGTTGTGTAGGTGTTGTCCTCAGGAATGGGGTCTTGCTGTCAGTTTGTAGAAAGCAACCTATAGTCTTGGCAACAGCCTGGTTTGTTTGGGGGCTCCCATGGCACCCCTTTGACCAACAACTCAATTAGACGTAAGCCAGTCCCAGGACTGGAACCTTCATGAAGTGACAAGAGATGGCCAGGTAGAGCTTTGTCTCCACCATTATTTGGCAATTTCATTTAGATTTCTTTCATGCATGTATATATTTTAGGAAACATCTACTGTATTAGGTTTCCATATTACCTCTCAAATGGCCATTAATTTTAGCTGTCACTCCCCATATTGAATTTCATGATTTAATTTTTTTTTTTTTTTGGTTTTTTGAGACAGGGTTTCTCTGTGTAGCTTTGTGCCTTTCCTGGAACTTGCTTTGTAGCCCAGGCTGGCCTCAAACTCACAGAGATCCGCCTGGCTCTGCCTCCCAAGTGCTGGGATTAAAGGCGTGTGCCACCACCACCCGGCTGATTTCATCTATTTTAATGGCTGAGTAATACTCCATTTTGTAAATGTACCACATTTTCTTTTTCCATTCTTCTGTTGAGGGCATCTAAGTTGCTTCCAATTTATGGCTATTATGAATAGAGCAGCAATAGTCTCTATAGTAGGATGAAGTGTCCTTTGGGTGTGTGCCTAAGAGTGGAATAGCTGGATCTTGAGACAGATTAATTTCCATCTTCCTGAGGCACCGTCATGCTGATTTCTATAATGGCTGTATAAGTTTGCACTCTCTCCAGCAGTGGGTGAGAGTTTCCCCTTACTCCATAACCTCGCCAGCAGGAGCTGTCACTTGTTTTATTGATCTTAGCAATTCTGATGGGTATAAGATGAAATCTCAAAAAGGTTTTATTTACATTTCCCTAATGGCTAAGGATGTTGAACATTTCAAGTGTTTCTTATCCATTTGAGTTTTCTCTTTTGAGAATTGTCTGTTTAGAAATGTACCCTATTTTTTAATTGGGTTGTTTACTTGATATCTAGGTTTTTGTTGTGGTGGTGGTGATTTGTTGGTTTGTTTTTTCAGACAAGGTTTCTCTGTATAGCCCTGGCTGTCCTGGAACTAGCTTTGTAGACCAGGCTGGCCTCAAACTCACACAGAGATCTGTCTGTCTTTACCTCCTGAGTGCTGGGACTGACAGTGTGTGCTACTGCCACCTGGCCTAGATTTTTAGTTCTTTATATATTTTGGATATTAGCTCTTGTCTTAGGATTTCTATTGTGAAGAGACATAATGACCTTGGCAACTCTTATACAGGAAAACATTTACTTCCGGTGGCGGCTTACAGCTTCAGAGGTTTAGTCCATTATCATCATGGCAAGGAGCATGGTGCCGTGAAGGCAGACATGGTGCTGGAGAAGGAGCTGCTACTTGTTGATATGCAGGCAACAGGAAGTAGACCGTCTCACTGGGTGTGGCTTGAGCATATATGAATCCTCAAAGTCTGCCTCCACAGTGACACACTTTATCCAACAAAGCCACACCTCCTAATAGTGCCACTCCCTTTGGGGGCCATTTTCTTTCAAACCATCACAGCTCTCTATCAGATGTGTAGTTGTTAAAAATTTTTTCCCATTCTGTAGGCTGCCACATTGTACAAACGATGGTGTCCTCTGCTGTGTAGGAGCTTCTCAGTTTCACGAGGGCCCATTTATTAATAGTTGATCTTAGCACCTGTGCTAATGGTGTCCTGTTCAGAAAGTCTTTTCCTGTGCCAGTGAGTTCAAGGCTATTCCCCAGCTTCTCTTCTATATATCTTCAATGTATCTTACTTTATGTTGAGGCCTTGGATCCATTTAGTTGAGTTTTGTGCAGGGTGATAAGTATGGATCTATTTGGATTCTTCGCCTTGTAGCTGTCCAGTTTGACCAGCACCATTTGTTGAAGATGTTTTCTTTTTTTCCAGTGTGTATTTCTGGCTTCTTTATCAAAAATCAGGTGTCCATAGGTATGTGGCTTTATGTCTGGGTCTTCAATTCCATTTCGTTGACCAACATGTCTCTTTTGTGCCAATACCATGTGGTTTTTATAATTACAACTCTGTAGTACAACTTGAAATCAGGGTTGATAATACCTCCAGAAGTTCTTTTATAATTCAGGATTGTTTTAGCTATCCTGGGTTTTTGTTTCCATATGAAGCTGAAAAGTATCCTTAAGATCTGTAAGGAATACTGATGGAATTTTGATGGGGATTGCATTGAATCTGTAGACTACTTTTGGTAAGATTGCTATTTTTGATATATTAATCCTACCAAACCATGAGCATGGGAGATCTTTCCATCTTCTTGTATCTTCCATGTCTTCCTTCAATGTCTTTATCACTTGCTTGGTCAGAGTCACCCTGAGATATGACACTATTGTGAAAGGTGTTGCTTCCCTATTTTTCTCAGTCCAAAGGACAGATACTGATTTTTATGAGTTAATCTTGTATCCAACTACTTTGCTGATGGTGTTTTTCAGCTGTCAGAGTTCCCTGGTGGAATTTTTAGGATCACTTGTGTATATTATCATTTCATCTGAAAATAAAGATACTTTGACTTCTTCCTTTCCAATGTGTATCCCCTTGATCTCCTTCAGTTGACTTATTGCACTAGCTAATACTTCAAGTACTGTATTCAGTAAGTATGGTGATAGTGGACAACCTTGTTTTATTCCTGATTTTAGTGGAATTGCTTTGAGTTTTCTCCATTTAAGTTAATGTTGGTTATGGGCTTGCAAAAACTGCCTTTATTATGTTGAGGTATGCCTCTTGTATCCCTAATCTCTCCAGGACTTCTATCACGAAAGGGGGTGAGTTTTGTTAAAGGCCTTTTCTACATCTAATGAGAGGACCATGTATTTTTTTGTCTTTTCAGTTCACTTATATGGTGGATTATATTTACTGATTTTCATATGTTTGAACCATCCCTATATCTTTGGGATGAAACCTACTTGATTGTGGTGGATAATCATGTTCCTAGATTTGATTTGCAGATACTTTGAGAAATTTTGCATCTATGTTCATAAGGGAAATTGCTCTGTAATTCTCTTTATTTGTTGAGTCTTTAAGAGGTTTGGGTATCAATAACTGTAGTCTTATACAATGAATCAGGCAATATTCCTTCTGCTTCTATTTTGTGGAATAATTTGGTTAACTCATCTTTGAAAGTCTGGCAGAATTCTGTGCTAAAATCATGTGTCCCTGAGCTTTTATTTTTATTGTTGTTGAGAGATTTTAATGACTGCTTCTGTTTCACTAGGGGTCATATAGGAGTACTTAAATTGCTTATCTGATCTTGATTTAACTTTGGTCAGTGGTCTATATTGAGAAAATTATACTTAGATTTTCCAATTTGTTGGAGTAGAGGTTTTTAAAGTATGTCTTTATGTGAGGGTTCAGTCTCTGTTCAGATGGTGTCACTAAAATGACAGGGAACATTGGAAGAGCCAACACCTCCTGCCACTGAGCAGACCTGAGTCTCTGGAACACTAATGGATGACTCACAATGGAGTCCAGGCTAACTGGAGACCCTCTAATTTGGTGTCAAAGCCCAGGACATTGCTTCTTCCTGCCCTTTGTCTGCAGACACACTGCCTGGATATACTGCCTCCGTACAACCTCACATAAAGTGGATTATGTGCTGTGCTGTTCAGACTCATTGGATAGTAATTTAATATGACCTTAGCTGATTGGATAATGTATGCATATATGCTAGTGAACATACATACACACTAAACCAGATCTGTACCTCAGTGCTCGTCTCTGGAGCCTGCTGCCCATGAAACTAATGGTGACTCTGTCTTCCTCCCCACTTCCCCACCAAGCCGTTGGTGAGAGGGAGAGAACCCTACACTTATGATTCATTGGGTTTCTGTGGTGTCTGTTGTTATGTCTCCCTTTTCATATCTAATTTTTTTCTCTTTGTTTTTTTTGAGACAAGATTTCTCTGTGCAATAGTCCTGGCTGTCCTGGAACTCGCTCTGTAGACCAGGCTGGCCTCGGACTCACTGAGATCCACCTACCTCTGCCTCCCGAGTGCTGGGAGTAAAGGCCTGTGCTAACACCACCCAGCTTTTCTAATTTTGATATTCACTCTCCACCTTTTAGCTGATTGGATAAGGGTTTGCCAATCTTATTGATTTTCTCAAAGAACTAACTCTTAATTTCATTGATTATTTGTAATTTTTTGTTTGTTTCTATTTTTTTGATTTCAGCCCTGAGTTTATTTCTTACTGTCTATTATTTTTGGGTGTGATTTCTTCTTTTTGTTCCTGAGTGAGTGCTGGGATTAAAGGTGTGTACCACTATGCCTGGCTTCCAATTTTTTTATGTAGGTATTTAGTGCTATGAATTTGCCTCTTTGAACTTGCCTTTTCATTGTGTGTCATAAGTTTGGGTATAGTATGCATTCATTTTCACTCAATTCTAGGAAATCTTTAGTTTCTGTCTTGATCCATTTTTCATTCAGTAATGAGTTGTTCATTTTCTGTGAGTTTGTAAGCTTTCTGTTGTTTCTGTTGTGATATCCGGCCTTAATGTGTGGTGGGCAGACAGGATGCAGGGGGTTATTTCAGTTTTCTTCTATCTATTGAGACTTTCCTTGTGTCTGAGTATGTGGCCAATTTGGGAGAAAGTTCTATGAGGGACTGAGAAGAAAGTATATTCTTTTATATTTGGGTAAAATGTCCTATAAATATCTACTAGGTCCATTTGGTTTATAATGTCAGCTCCAGCACTTCTCTGTTTAGTTTTTGTCTGGATGACCTGGCTATTGGTGAGACTGAGATATTAAAGTCTCCCACTATCAGTGTGTCAGAGTCAATATGTGATTTAAGCTGTAGTAGTGTTTCTTTTATGAATCTGGGTACCCCTGTGTTAAGAATTGAAATGCCAGGTGGTGGTGGCATACACCTTTAATCCTAGCACTTGGTATTAAACCAACCAACCAAACAACCAACCAACCAAACAAAAGAATCAAAATGTCCTCTTGGAGGATTTTTCCACTCATGAGTATATAGTGTCTATCTTAGTTAGGGTTTCTATGCTGTGAAGAGACACCATGAACACGGCAACTCTTATAAAGGAAAAACATTTAATTGGAGTGGCTTACATTTTCAGAGGTTTAGTCCATTATCATCATGGTGTGACGTGGTGTGCAGGCAGATGTGGTGATGGACAAGTAGCAGAGTGTTCTTCATCTTAACTCACAGGCAACAGGAAGTGGTCTGAAATACTGGGCGTGGCTTGAGCAATTATGAGACTTTAAAACCTACCTCCACAGTGGCACACTTATTCCAAAAAGGCCATATCTACGTCAACAAAGCCACACCTCCCAATAGTGCTGCTCCCTTTGAGGGAAGGCATTTTCTTTCAAACTACTACAGTGTCCTTCCCTATATCTTTTGATTAGTTTTGATTCAAAGTCTATTTTGTCAGATATTAAAATGGCTACACCTAACAAGGTAGTGATGGTTCATGCCTTTGATCCCAGCACTTGGGTGGCAGAGGCACGCAAATCTCTGAGTTCAAGGCCAGCCTAGTCTACAGAGCAAGTTCCAGGACATCCAGGGTTACACAGAGAAACCTATCTCAACAAAACAAAACAAAACAAAACAAAACAAAACAAAACAAAACAAAACAAAACAAAACAAAAATGGCTACACCAGCTTGCTTCTTAGGTCCATTTTCTTGAAATATTTTTTTCTATCACTGAGGTGATGTCTATCCTCAATGTTAAGGTGTGTTTCCTGGATGCAGGAAACACATGCTGGATCCTGTTTTCACATCCATTCTGTTAATCTGTGTTTTTTTGTTTGTTTTTCAAATTCGGGAGAGACCATTGATATTGAGAAATATCAATGATAAGTGTTTATTGATTTCTGTTCTTTTGGTGTGTGTGTGTGTGTGTGTGTGTGTGTGTGTGTGTGTGTGTGTGTGTGTGTGTGTTTCCTTCCCCTCTTTTTGCTGGCTTATGATTATTTATTCTTTTTGTTTTTTGTGTGAGGTTGGAGTTTTCTTTATTTATTTAAGAGTTATTTATTTATTTATGTATATGAGTGCTCTATCTGCATGTATGACTTTATGCCAGAAGAGAGTATCAGATCTCATTATAAATAGTTGTGAGCTACCATATGATCTCTGGGAATTGAACTCAGGATCTCTGGAAGAGCAGTCAGTGCTGTTAACCTCTGAGCTGTTTCTCCAGCCCCTGGAGTTTTCTTTCTACTATCTTCTTTAGACAGATGTTGCTTAAATGTGGCTTTATCACAGAATGTCTTATATTCTCCATCTATTGTTGTTGGTGGCCATGTCAGAGGAGCAGAAGGTGGCACCTGAACTTCAGGAGATTGACTCACCAGAATGTAAGACACTGATGGGTGAATCTCGGATAGTCAAGGCCTGGAGGGCTATGGCTCCAGAATGTCTTTTGCTACTGCTGTGCATGTTTGCCAATGCCATTTTTCTCTGGTGTCTGGCATGGTGTGCATAGATGTGGGGAGATCCCCACTGCCTTTAATGTAGTGTGATTATCTCATGGAAATATCCCATTCTACTGGGCATTTTTACCTGTGGATTATTATGAAGATGATTTCCTCTTAAGCTGTACTGTTTAGTTGAAGTAATGATTTTATATAACAATAGCATTAGTTTAAATAGAATTTTGATTATTAAGGGTTTTTTTTTAAACAAATATAGTAAGGGATTATGATAGAAGTTAGTTTAGTGGGAAAATTAATACAGGTAAAAGAATATAGTGTTGTCCCTACCCCTGATAAAGCAGGGTCTGCAGAAGGTAGAAAATAACATCAAGGAAGTGTCATGCAGCTAGGACTTACAAGTTTCTCTTGAGAAGCCATATAGACTGTGGTTTAAGTTAATGATTAAGGGTAACAATCGAGTCCCAGGAGTTAACTCAAGTTCTTTTTGCTATTGGGAAATGTGTTCACAGGTTTTGGTGTGCATCATAGCTAAAACAAAACTTTAAACAATTGACGTCATGTAACTAGAAAACAAAGAATTGGAAGGTTAGTTAAGATAATTGGACAGGACACTAAAATATGAAAAGTGAAACCAGTAATCTGTTTTTCTGGCATTATAAAATCTACTGCCTGTGTAAATGGTTACAATTGAAAGGCCCTGATCTATGAGAAGTCTCAAAGATAATGTTCAACTGTATGTGGGTTCTTGAGGGATAATTTGTTTTTCACCTATAATACATAAAATGTTTAATCATGTGAGGGAAATGCGAAATATGTTGTTTTTTACTTGTATTCATTGTAATTATTCACTTAAATAATGTAACCATACTGTAATTTTTATATTACTTGAAAGATTCTGCTGGGGTTTATAAGCTATAAGGGGAAAAATAAAGAAGAGAGAAGGAAGTCATCAGGAAGTAGAGGAGAAGGAAGACATCAGGAAGTAGTGAAGAGGAAGGCATCAGGAAACAGTGAGGAGGAAGTCATCAGGAAGTAGTGAGAAGGAAGTCATCAGGAAGTAGTGAGAAGGAAGACATCAGGAAGTAGTGAGAAGGAAGACATCAGGAAGTAGTGAGAAGGAAGTCATCAGGAAGTAGTGAGGAGGAAGTCATCAGGAAGTAGTGAGGAGGAAGACATCAGAAAGGAGTGAGAAAGAAGCCATCAGGAAGTAGTGAGGAGGAAGACATCAGAAAGCAGAGGAGAAGGAAGATATCAGGAAGTAGAGAAGGAAGACATCAGGAAGTAGTGAGGAGGAAGACATCAGGAAGTAGTGAGAAGAAAGACATCAGGAAGTAGTGAGAAGGAAGTCATCAGGAAGTAGTGAGAAGGAAGTCATCAGGAAGTAGAGGAGAAGGAAGACATCAGGAAGTAGTGAGAAGGAAGTCATCAGGAAGTAGAGGTGAAGGAAGACATCAGGAAGGAATGAGAAGGAAGACATCAGGAAGAGTGAGAAGGAAGACATCAGGAAGGAGTGAGAAGGAAGACATCAGGAAGTAGAGGAGAAGGAAGACATCAGGAAGTAGTGACAAGGAAGACATCAGGAAGGAGTGAAAAGGAAAACATCAGGAAGTAGTGAGAAGGAAGACCTCAGGAAGTAGTGAGAAGGAAGCCATTAGGAAGTCGTAAGGAGGAAGACATCAGAAAGCAGAGGAGAGGGAAGACATCAGGAAGTAGTGAGAAGGAAGACCTCAGGAAGTAGTGAGAAGGAAGACATCAGGAAGTAGTGAGAAGGAAGTCATCAGGAAGTAGAAGCGAAGGAAGTCATCAGGAAGGAATGAGAAGGAAGTTATCAGGAGGTAGTGAGAAGGAAGTCATGAGGAAGGAGTGAGAAGGAAGTCATCAGAAGGTAGTGAGAAGGAAGACATCAGGAAGTAGTGAGAAGGAAGACATCAGGAAGTAGAGGAGAAGGAAGACATCAGGAAGTAGTGAGAAGGAAGACATCAGGAAGGAGTGAGAAGGAAGTCATCAGGAAGGAGTAAGAAGGAAGTCATCAGGAAGGAGTGAGAAGGAAGTCATCAGGAAGGAGTGAGAAGGAAGTCATCAGGAAGGAGTGAGAAGGAAGTCATCAGGAAG